CGTACACGGTGAGGGTAACGAGGTCGAGAATGCTAAAGCTGGACTCCGGCAGCGGGGGAAGTTGAGGGGGGGCTAGATGCAGCATTGAGGAGAGAAAGGGCTCAGAAGGGGTGAAAAGGCTCCGTGTAACGCTGCGAAAGCCGTAAAGAGCGAAACGCGAGATCGGGCGTAGGCACTTGCGGGAACAGCAGGCCCGTAAGTTCGCGTACTGCGTCATGGCGCGACAAATCCGAAGGAAGACCGAAGCGCTCAGTACTGATGTGTAATTTTCGTTGTAGAAATCTAGATCATGAAGAAGTTGCTTTAAAAGCGTTGAGGCGATATGCTTCACATTGGTGGTTGTAAAAACCGAACCACAAAGAGAACACACCTTATCCACTCGCTTGGTTTGAGGATTGAGATCCTCCAATTCTTCATTGAGAATTTCTTCGAAGCGGTCCTGCAGTGATGCGTTGTTGTCTAGCATCTCTAACTCTTCAGAAGGCCTTTCTCCTGAAAATTCTTTACGAAGCTTGTTGATAAATGTCAGGGTATGAGCCTGCCATTTTTTATTGACTTGTGGAGGAAAAGTGCATTTCAGATTCGAACATGAATCGTTTATCATTGACTTATCGCCAAGAATAACGGTAGACGCGTAATTTGCACAGGATAGTAAATCCAAGGTGATTTTTGTGGCGCAGACGTCGGAGCAAACTAAAAGAACTCCATTTGACGCCTCGCAGGACTGCTGGAGAAGTGCAAAAAATATATAAAGCTCCACCGATGTGATATTCTCCTTCATCCTTTCTGTGAATTGGCGCTTCAGAAGAGAAAAGACGATGCACGGGGCCGATGAGTGCGGATCTGCCGCACATCCACGGCTTTCCGAGTCAACATGCATATCGCATGCAGAGCAGTGCGTCGCTATCATAGAGCCCTGCAAATTTTTATGGCATTTCTGAATTATAGCGTCGCGATTCGGGGTATTCTCGTCGAGTTCAACTTCAGTGATGCGTAAATTCCGACAAACAAGGTTTAGGATGCGTTTACTGCCTACCACAGTGATTGAATTCCCACGCAAATCGAGCCTCACTAAGGTTGGGTGGACGACAAAAGCATCGCAAATGCGCTTTATGTCCTCCACCTGGAGTTGGCAAGACATTAGGCTAAATACATTAATCGCGCATCGCTGAAGAGTCCCCACAATGGCGGTGATGCCATTTTCCCCAAGGTAATCATTTTTAAAGATGATAGCGGAGCTTTCATTCTGAAGTTGCTTGATAAATGAATTGTTGGCGTGAATATAAAGTCGCGTACACAAATTCATATAGTAGCGTTGGGCATCTTCACCTGAAATGAACGCTTCGGTAGGTTCTGGTGCAGCGACAAAATTCCGTGCAGCAACCACTACCTCCGTTGCTTCACCCTTTCTTGGTAAAGTAGTTACAAGCATCTGAAAGCTGAGCTAAATTTTTTATAGACTATTGATACCAGGGAATAAAATGAGGAAACTATGCAACTTCATCTTTTGAGAAAGGATGCAATGAAAAGGGTACTCCCGAAACCAATATACTCGATGATAATCCATGCAATATGAGTGTGTACATGTTAACTAAAATCGATGTAGCAATGAAACAACCCAAAGCATATATGTATAAAAGGCAGACTGTTATATCTTTTTCTCCCACCACATCATTCAAAGATAGCAATGCTTAAAAATTAACATACCTACGATCGCAATTTATATAGATATAGAGAAATATATATACGTTAAGAAAAATATTAAAGAAAAGGATAAAACAGGAATCATACTTGTAAAGATAAAAATATAGGCATTAAACGAGAACAAATATGTCTTGTAGATCTGGAAAATAATAAAACAGATAACAAAATTAGACTCTTCCAAGTAGATAGTTTTCTTATCATTTGTAAACAAGTACAAACACTTTATGATGCTTAGAATAGATACTCAGACGTAACCGAGCAAATTTAGCGTCTAGGAAAAATCTATCAAGTAATAATTTCCCTTACCATTTTTTTTGTTCATTGAGCGTAGATAGCCTACATGAAAAATGTAAGTGAAAATCAACACAATAAGAAAAAGACCTTCCACTCCTTACTCTTCAGTCACTTCCTCAGATTTTTTTTGAGGAAATATTTTTAACGCTAAGTTGTAAAGACACTTGTACTGACGTTTGTACTGCGTTTCTAACATTTTCAGGATCTCATCCATCTTAGGGACGCTCCACTTGTTCGAGAATAGGTTGATCCTGAAGGGCCACGTATTGCGTACAAGATACGACGTGACCATTCCCTCAAGTAAAGTGGAGAGGACCGCCTCAAAGACTTCCCCCCCCGACTCCGGGATCATGACTGAAAAGGTCGAAAAGTGGGCGCGCAGGATGACTTGCGCGAGGAGCGCAAGAAGCAAACGTCCCGTGCGGGCGCCACTGAGGCGGCGGCGCAACATCAATTTCGAAACCGTTAAAATAATCGAAGGTAGCTGCCAGGAAAAGAAATCGAGGTTCCACTCCACGTTAGGGTCGCTTGAAAACGCGTATGACGCGTAGCTTGCGTAGCGGGCTGTTTTAAACCTGTCGATTTTTGAAAGTACATCAGACCAGTTGGTCAACATGTAGTCCAGCAAGAATCGAGGCGTGTTGATCGCGGCAAGATATTTAAAAGGTTCCCAAAGCACCGAAACCCCCACCTCAGCTGCCATAGAAAGCAGATAAACAATCGCATCGTTTTTATTCTTTATGAGCGCGCCTTTTTTACCTAATATTGTTTCTAATATAAACCCTCGGCTTCCATAATACACCGTAGAGTGAAGGCACAAGCGCAACATTGTTCCATGGCACAGGCGAAGGGACTCTAGATAAGTGTTTATGCTTACAAGGTACTGAGAATGTACATTGTGTTCAAACATTTTGTACGAGATTTTCTCCACTACACTACACCTATGCAAAAAAACTGAGATAATATTAGATAGCTAAATCAAATAAATGAGTCTTCTATTCAGAGATCACACTTCAGAACTCACATAAGCAACTAATGATATGTGGCAATATTATGTAGTTCTTGAGTGTATCCAAGATTCTATAAGTGAGTTGCGAATAAAATAAAAAAATACAGAAGGAGTCATGAATATACACAGACTTACAAACACACCCATATAGATATATATAAATATGTACATACATATATGTATACCGGTATTTCCTCCACAAAGGAAATCAATTATATAAAACCACAAGAAAAATATAGAACAAAAGAGAACTTGATGTGACAACGTCATTACTAATTAAATAAGTCAGCGTTTCAGAGTAAGATAAATCTAGAACACAATTGAACCCCAAATTGATCACTTGATCGGAAGAAGAGAGGAAAATTTAACCACTCTACAGTGACATAACCGAGAAGGAGTGCATATACTGACTAAATAAAAACAGAGGAAGTAAAAGGATTATTTATCATCTGAGAAAGCTGATAAAGTAAGGCAAGGAAAATAATTTTTTCCCGCTTCGTCTTCAAAAGAGCTTTGTACTTTTACAATGAAACAGGCTACTTTTTATTCCCCCCCTCCCCCCTTTTCCTGCACGCACATCCACATGCACACGTGCGTCCCTTCGTTTAAGTCTGTCCCAAGGGCGGGACCTTAGACAGGGGAAAAGAAATGGCGCTCGAGACCAGTAAATAGGGTTTTGGAATGCCGCTGGAGGCTGGAGAGAGGAAAGAAAAGAAGCGTTTTCCAATCTCTAAAAGGACGATAAACCCCGCCACGTTCGCTTCCGCAGCAGTTTCTATGCTGTCCGCGTGCACCACAGACGCTATACAGCAGGACTTGATATCATGCCAAGACATCAGGTCGAGAGTTAGGGCGTTCAAAAAGTAGACCTCAGAGGTCTTCGCCACGAGTCGAGCAGACGAAAGCAGTGTTCGCGGAGTTCCGAGGAAGTACGAAACCAGTTGTTGGGTTCGCATCTCTGTGAGGAGTGAGGCACTACGCTTCATGATAAGCGACTGTTTAGGATACCGCATTACATTCACGCTTCGACCCAGCACAGAATTCTCCATTGTCGTCTCCAGTGCCAGGTCTGAACCCGCAACGATAATATGCGTCGCGGAAAAAATGGCGGCGAGTTCGATCAGCACGTCTAGCCCGAGTCCCGTTGTCCAGCTCATGGTGTTAATGATCATGCCGCCACACTGAAAATGCGGCCGCGCAAAGCCAACCGCAGTAACCGCCTGCGCAATGCACGCACAAAGGTCCAAATAGCGCTTCCGCGTCGCGCTCGCCACGACCTCGCAGCCGAAGAAAAAGCTCAGCGGCATCACGGCGTTGAAGCCGTCGTCAACGGGGATGGGCTCCTCCACAAACGCCGCGGCGACGCTGCCGGGGGCCGAGATGCTCGGCAGCCCCACATCCACGTCGACGAAAGCCACACCGCGCCCCTTCTCGCGCACGGCGAGGTTCATCAGGGCGCGGCAGAGGCTGCGTTTGCCGACATTCGGCCCCCCCACCACCAACACCCTTGGCCCTGCGTAGGCCTCCTCGTCCGCCGCCGGGGCCTGGAGGTGGAGCTGCCGGCGGGCGTCCGCGCGGGCCGCGTCGAGGACCGCGTGCAGATCCCCCACTGCGGCGTCCAGGACACAAAGGTGGGAGGTGACGGCCCCTGTGAGGTCGAGCCTGGCGCGCCCAGGGACCTCAACCGGCACACTGCACTGCGCAAAATTGTAACGGACGTTGCGGGCGAGACCGGCACCGAAAATGGAGCCACGCCCCCCCATCAGGACGACGCTGCCGGGGCCGTCAAAGTGCAGGATCAGGGCTGCGCATTCGACCTCGAGGCTCTGATGCACAGGGGCGGCCGGACGACCCCCTTCATCGAGCCCTTGCATCGCGTTCGCTTCGGCTGGGAAAGGAAGCAACCCGAGAAATCCCGCACCCCTGAGGAAAGAATTGAAATGAGACTACGGTGCCTAAGCCGCACTTTAAAGGTACCGCATACAGGGGAGAAGGGAATAGTTTTAGGCGTGAAAGCGACATCACAACATGAACGTCCCGAAACATCGAATTCTCCTCAATAAAATACCTCTGAAAGCAACATCGATTTAAGGGATGTTTATATAAGGACTAGAAAAAAAGAAGAATATTTGCATAGTATAAAATATTTTATTATCCACCCCCTCACACACACATACACTCGTAATGAATGGAATAGGGTCGATTATTAGACTAAGCATTATGCATCGCAAAGGGTAATAGTCGCTTTTACCACTATTCCTCCTCTGAGCACTGTTACCTGATATAACTTAAAATAATCTGTAATAGGGCTGAAACGGGACGAAAATGTTGTACCTCGGGCGACCATCACCACCTTTCACACAACTTCATACTTATCCCTGATAATTCACTCATATTATTTTAAAAAGAAGGACCTGAGCCCATTTCGTATGTGAGCTATTCTCTCTGGGGAGGGTGCTGCAAAAACGCTTGCCGCCGAATGGAATAGAAAGGTAAGTCATCAGCCGAGGTCTCTAAGAGTATCTAGTTGAGCACATCCATTTGAGGGCATATGAGGACCATTTCACCAAAACCAAGCCGATATTCTATCATGCATACTACAGTAGCCATTTATCCGCGGCTTGTACGGCATCTTGTGAAGCACCCTCCTTCACAAGAATATTTCCAACCACCCCAATCGCCGCGGTGGCAGGAAGACTAGCCACCTCAATTGGGTATAGCTTGTCAGGACCCTGATGGACTAGAAGGGTCATTTTAAGATTGAGCGCCTCTATGCGTATGAACTCGAGCTCCTCGCTTCCACTGCTCGTTAAGGAAAAGGCAAGAATTTTTTATGAATATTTTGTGGAAGTATGGGGGGTTTGCTGACTAACAACATTTCCAATAGAACATTTTTTGACATCAAAGTAGGAAGTACAACCTGTTTCGTTGCCTCTATCTTACTTGGAGCATGGATGGAAATCAAGGACTTGATTTAGGAATGATTCTCTGGAACTTTTGTAAGACGTGTTAATACGATATACGGTTTTGTGGGGTAACTAAGTCGCTTTTTGTACAGAAATCTTTTCCAGATTCTACTTAAAAAAAATGTAAATATACAAAAACGGATGCGACACCGCAAAACAAACACGCAATCAAGATATCTACTTAGGAATAAAAAGAGTCGTCTAGGCTAGATAAAGGTTTAAGACGACAACGACGTTGGTACGTCTTGTTAGCCAAGGTTCGAGAATATAAAAAAGATACTATTTTTCAATAGCATCCTTAATGCCACGAGTTTTTGTATCACCAATTAGCTTTTGAGACATCTTTTGATACCTCTTGGGTCTACTCCCGCGTCAGAAAAAAGGATCCTAAGCGATGATATTCATAAAAATGGATTAAATTTTTCTCAGCACGAGAGAAGGTAAGTGTGAGAAAATGAAACCGAGGATTTATTTCGTTTCTAAAGGAGACACCTTCAGTAAGATGTCTGACCCTGTTCTGATTATATTTTCTTCATAAAAACATCCATTGGACCACTCTAATTCCTTTTGGTGTAGACAAAGTTATTTGTGAGTGATATATTTATAGAATAGAGCATACACATAATGTCCAATAAACGCACGGCACACCCTCAAGTGATTGTCAGCATTCTTCACTGACAACTCCAGAAGCCCGTCTTACTCGAATAGTCTTTATGGAAGTCCCATGATAGGAGCGAACTCGACTGAGCAGGAGCTTCCCCGGCGTGCCGTAGAGTTGAAACCTATCTCCTGGGACAATCGTGCCGTCCTTCACATCTTTATTGTCTTGACTCGCACCGACTCCAATATTTAGAGTGTCCGCGCCCCTAATTTGAGATGCAGATCGGCACCGACCCTCTGCTGAAAGAGGCGTTTGAACTCGCCGTGAGGAGGCCGTGAAGCCTAGCACCGACTGAGAGCGCCTACTATTCCACCGCGTGGACTTTGTCTCCAATGGTTGGGTTCGGTCCATTGTGGATAACCTAGGGTTGCAACCTTCATACCCATTAAGCTCGGTGCCACGCAAGTGAATCAGATGTGGAGAGGCGCACGCCGGTACGGACATATTCCTGCCCGAAACCGTTGCGGTGTTTGCCGAGGAAAGCCTTGCGTGGGATAACAAATGCGGATTCCCATCTCGAGACGTAAGAAATCCTCCTCCCTTGTCAGCTGAGAAAAAGTCATTGGCGAAGTCGTTGTAGGACCGACTCGACAAAGTGCTCCAATAGCCTCGAGGAGTTTTCGTATTCATGCTAGCGAAGCACGGAAAGGAGGAAAACATGGGAGAGCGCGCCGATTGTGGGGTTCTAAGCCGCATAGTGCCCCAAAGATTCCCACTAACCTCTGTGGCCGTTTCGGGCACCCTTGTGATGTGCTGCGGCGGTATCCTTTCGGAGATAGCAAGCTGATGCTGTCGGGACACCTCATGAATCAGAATATCCTCAAGGGGGAGCCGTTGAATGACGGGTCTTACTTTAGGGGTGAGTTCAAATGGCAATGTACTCATCGGTTCTGTAATTTTCAAGGAGGATGGATGAGATGTACCTATCGCTACGGTCGATTTTGGTAAAGCTTTGGAGTGTCTGCCCTGGGCTATATTCAATAGGCTAGGTCCACTCCGAGATGGCGTACGCACCCGTGAATTGACGGCAGAACCAAAATCGGTACCATTCGACTGCTTGTGTTGGATTTCTAGATAGAGAGGGGTGGAAGGTTGGCTACTGGGCATGCTCCAATGTTGCGCGAGAACAGGCGATTCAGTCGAAGCGTGAGATGATGATGCGCGGCCTCGACCTACCCTACGCATGGGAGTGGGACACGCTGAATTTAAATGACGGCGCCTATTTTTATTAGGCTCTGTCGAAGCGGTTAGCGGCGATTTTCTTGACAAAAACTTCTCCAGATCTCTGCGAGCATAAAATGCGGAGGTACATTGGTAGGGAAGTCTAGAGTACATAGTAGGTGGTTCTAAATCAGTCCCAGAACTCTTTGTGAAATACGAGTTAACAAATGGGTCGTCATTTCTAAAAAAAGAATGGTAGTTGTTATCGCTCCCGACACTAATAACCTTTGTATCTTGCAGAGAATTGTGTAGATGATTTCTACCTTGATCTCTCGCTTTCGCTTGATACAGTCTTAGCTGCTGCATTAGTAACATGGTGTTTATCACATCCTGAAGGAGAGCGTCTCGATCCTTTGCCCACTCATCAGTGTAAGTCTTATGAATCGATTTAGGAGAAGACTTCTTTGGCTCCAGCGGTCTGTCTTTGGGCTTTGTGTTTCGACCATTTTGCTTTTTTCCCTGACCCTTACTTCGAGTGGTATCCAAGCAATGCGGATCAGATACCGAATCCGTCGGCGGATCCGTCAGCAGCAGACTTGGTGTGAGCTTTGCAATGGGCGATCGAGGTTGTATTTCATAAGGCTCATTCTCCTTTAGGTTATATCCTTCAAGGAGACTCGTGTAGTAGGAGTTAGAGCGTGGTAAAGGAGGCAACATAGCCCTTCGCCGTCGGTATCGGTTAGCAAGCTGTTGCTCCTGGCGAAGTTCGTTTTGGTGGAAGTTGATTTTGTCCCGCAAAGAAAGCCTACACACAAAGTTGAGTACATCCCGCGTCGATCCCGCAGAAGGAGAATTAGGGGTACTTCCTAAGAATTTGGACCCCAGAGGGGATTCCGGCACCGACATCGAAAGCGACTCTTCAATGGGGTCATCTGCCTGCGTATTCATACCCACACCTGACAATGCGGATGCGGATAAACTAAGGGTCACCATTTCAAGCGCCTCGCTGCCGGTTTCACCAGTACAAATGGACCTCCCAGTGGGCTGCAGAGTGAGGTTGTCGATGGAGAGGGTAAATAACGTGTTCCGTATCTGTTCCACAGTTTGGTCAATGCGTTGCTCGACCTGTATGTGTGAAAGAAACACACCAGAGCCAGACGAGATGATGTTCAGCTGGGAGAAGGCGGAGTGAAGCATAAACTCCAAGTCGCCAATGACCGAGGCCGCATCGAAGGTGACGTTGTCCGGGTCGTAGGTCAGCAGCCAGTCTCCCACCACCCAGCGCGACTGGTTCGAGGCCTCCGAGGCCCCATCGCGCGGCGTCAAGAGCTGCCAGATGGCGTCCGCACTGAGGTTCCCGTGTGGAGGTAGTGTGCAGCTGGCGCAGCCGAATTCCGCCACCACCTCCAGGATCTCGACGAAGACGCGCTCCTCCATCGAGTCCCACCCGCTGCGGACAAGGTCCCCGAGAGAGAGCCCCGCGAAGGCCTCCACCGCCGCCACGTAGGCCGCGCCGGAGGGCGACTCGTACAGGTACGCGTCAATCGGGAGCGCTACGCAGCGCGGCCTTTCGGAGACGCTGAGGAGGGTTTCCGCGCGCTCGCGATGGCGCCTTGCGGGGGCGGCGGTCGTGGTGTGGAGGGGGGCGCAGCGGGCCTCGTAGACGGCCCCGGTGTGCCGGTCCTGCGCACAAAAGCGGGGGCCGTTGCGGCTGTCGTAGGCCTCACTAATGCAGGAGCGGATCGCCAGCAGGGGGAAGGCCGCCGCGTCAAGAGGACTGTGCAGGATCAGGGAGGTCGCCAGCATGTCAGCTTTTGGCGTAGGGAGACCGTCCCCTCTCTTTTCGCCCATACAATGGAAAAGGGGGAGGAGGGGACGAAATCAATGGAAGTGTGAAGTTACTATTTGGGCCACAAAGAGAAAAATGATGGGATCCTGACGTCGTGTGACAAGAAAGGAAGGTTCTAGTGATAAAACGTCATTTAAAAAAAAGGAAAAAAGAAAGATCTGGATATCGCAAGATATTAAGTTGCCTATTCTCAATGTTAGGAGATTTACATTTGGGGGGTTAGAATTTTGATGAACGCAAATCAAACACAAGAGAACAGCGCATATCAAAGATGAAAGAATTCAAAAAACACAGTTTAAGATTAGGGCAGGACAATTGTAATAATAATAATAATTCACAAAATGGATGTCTTCATGAAAACCACGTATAAATTCGAAGTTGAAAAAATAATAATAGTTATCATAAAGTACTTATTGAAAGTGTTAGCTGCTTGATAAAACTCGAATAAGTTCTAAGATAAATTAATTCAGTTTGCGATAAAAATAAATTGAAAAAAAAATTCTGTTATAGATTTTTTATTTAGATCCTAAAGTTGTATGCAAAGGTGAAAACGATTACATCAAAAAGCTTCGACACAACATAAGTCACTTCTTTCAACTAATTCGGCAACAAGCAAGTATTAGCTTCCCTTTTATCGTCAGGGATTACTCTTTTATGACAAATAAGTAATCTAGTAACTGTCGAGGATATAATTTACAACTTGTGTTTTACATCTGATCATGGGATAATCTTTAAATGTTTTTCCTCAACATAAGAGCAGATAAAGAATTATCGATAATAAAGTATTTTTTTTGATGTGACTCTTTTGAGCCTTAATATTTCCTTTTAGCCTTTACATACCACATACAACCCCTTCAAATTCCCTTCCAAGAGCTGATAAACCACTAATTTAATCTAGTTGTATTTCAAATTAAAAAAAACATACAAAACAGTAATAAGTTGAACACCCCGTTCAGATAAAAGTACAAGAAAAAATGCATAAAAATAGAACAAAATCTCACCTGCCTTAGCTTGTACGTCGGAAAAAATGGTAAAGACTATACATCTACTTAGAGATTTTCTCCAAGTTTGTTAAAAGCAATTTCACAAGTGATTGCAAATTTTAACGGATAAACGTGTCTAAGATTCAAAATTAGTATTATTAATAGTGAATACAACTATGGAATACTTAAATTCAACATAGCAGATTGCAAACCCAGTCAATGTAAGTCTAAAATAAAAAGCCTTTCGGTAAAAAAAGGAGCAACGGCGGCGTAGTATAGTTCACCGCGTGCTTGCGTATTAATTTATTTTCTACCGAATCCTTCCATCTCTCATTTTTCGTCTCTGATATGATTTGTGTGTGCATGTTTTCCTCTTTGTTTCTTATGACATGCAATTGATGCATTAATTTTTACAGTATAATACAGATATTTTCTAGTATAGAGGTAAAAATGTCTAAGTTTTAATTAATAAGAATAATAAGCTCATATTATAAATAATTGGAACTCTATATATGCACTCAGATAATGATTTTTTTCCAAAGGAAAAACAATGTTTGTATCCTCCTAACATATTTTTCCTATACTAAACGTTTTTGGGGGGGTATATACTTTCAAATGTATAACCATATTTTGGATTTTTGTATCCTTTGGAACACATAAAATCATCTGCATAGATTCTCAACGAAAAAAAAATAATAAGAGTGGAGAAGAGAGATAGACACGATATTGAAGGCGGGGGGGAGGCAAGGTAACAAGCAAAAATGCTCTGAATTTTATTGTCATTACCGCAGCTAAATCAACAATAGCACGATGGAGAATTTTTTTACGAAATATATATCGGTTAATTTTATTTAAAACAAAAAAGATTGGTGTATCAAATTTGGTAAAAATATATAGGTTTTATTCGTGTATTGATAAATCTTGAGGGATACCATGAACACAGAAAAGGTTCAGAATCATTATTTTTCTACGTTCTGTTAAAGTCACTCTACAAAAAGAGAAAAATGCTAAACGCTGAATTTCTTCCAATAACAATATCATTTTGAGATTTGAAAAAAAAGGAAGCGATAAACAAATTTATAGGTAAAGCAGTTCACTGATTTGTATTAAAAATGCTACGCTAAATAAAAATAAAAAAATTTTCCAACACTAACCATAAAAGCAAATGAAAGAAAATTCAGCAACAAATCCTCCAAAATACATTTCCAAGCCGATGGAAATAGATTAATTTCCAGGATCATTATGTGATAGATCGAAACAGAGCTTGGCTAGAATATTTTGACTTACAAAAAGCAACGAAAAAGCCTCATTGAATTTTTAAAAATGTAGAGATGAACCAAATGATTTTTTTGATTAAACAAAACCATTACAACTATACCACATTCATAAACTCATAACCCTCCAATGACACCAAGGTATCTCAGTGGAAATCCCCATTTGGCGACATGGAAGGGTATGTCAGGGGCTCACAATGACGAATCGGTCTCAGTGCAATCGCCTCGAGGAGCGGAAAAAGCGTCTCCCGGGCTCCACCCCCGCCCTCCTCTCCACTCGCAGACGACGCTAAAGACGCCAGGTTAGCCTGAACCGTGGCGAATTTCAAGTTTCGCCGCGATGCATGAAGAAGTGAGCGGTGCCACTCCACAAAGCGCAGTTTCGCGTTCGCCCGGACAGGCGATTCCGGCGAAGGCCGGGGGGGGGAATGGGCTCCCTCCTCAGCCCCGGGTGCCACCTCGCAGGCCGCGCACCCCAACAGAAGAGGGAGGTAATAGACGTAATAGACGTTACTCGTGCAACGCGGCGTTGCCACAGTTTCCCCCTTGTCCAGAAAGGGCACCATCGGCGGTGATATCACAGTTGAGGATGGAGAGATGTAAACCGGGGCAAAATAGCACTTAACGTAGTTGTACAAAGAGCAAAAAAGTGTTTCGGTATACAACTTCTTGCTTTCCTCTTTAAATTTCACGGTGAGAACATCGTAAAGCGTGATGAGCTCGGCGCGCTGAGAACTGGTTAAATAATCGTTGACTAATGGATAGGCTCCTAAAAGCTTTAGGGTGAGTTCAATAGGGAGCGCCTTGGTGGTGGTTCCTCTAAGCATACCACGGAATTCAGGAGTGTGGTCTGTGTTTGGACTACTAATAAAGTTCTCAATCCCGGCCTGTGTTTTATCCTCCAAGCTGTTTAAGAGAATGGGCGAGACCCTTGCGATACCCCGGTATTTGTGAAAATCGTCAGATCCTTGAAAATTTGAAGGATCGGTTCCTCCGTTTCGGTGCTTGCATCGGTTCCGATGATAATAAATCAGTCGACGATGGGTGCTAATGACCATGAAAAAAAGCCGAGTTGTCATGTTCATCATTTCCAGTGTGCGCATATCCTTCATTTGAGAAGCCTTTTCATAAAGCAACTCCTTGACTTGTTTTAATCCCTCCTTATGCTTCTCCTCGAGACCTGAATAAAGCATGCTTCGTATTTGACAGTACTGTGAACAAAATAGCCCGGTAGATTTCGAAGGTGAGGTGATGGGAGCCTCCAATAAATCGGCACATTTCGGTGTAGTGGAGTCAATTTCGTACCTAATATCGCTTAAAGGAGAGGAAGTGCAGTTTGTCTGCAGTGAAGTGAATGTATTTATACTCGCTGCATCCATATCTTCACTCACGTCGCGGAAGCAAACCTCACACCGCCCGACAAATTGGTTCCCAAAGAGCGAATGCATCGCTAAAATTGGCGCATTCTCCAAGAAAAGCGACTTACTCGGTGTAACTGACTGAGACTGAATGATAATTCGCTTAGAATACATGAAGTCGAGGGTCACTAAGAGGTCGCCGTTGCTGACCTCCTGCAACAATTTTTGCACTCTTATCATGTAGGAATTAAGGTCCTTAATACATTCTAGTTCAGCGCTGTTAGGCAGGAACGCGGAGGCCTTACAAAGCGCAGCAGCGGCCTTGTTGAAGTTCCCCAACCCGCTGTGCGCGCGCGCCATGCATAAATACCCACGAACCCACCGGGGCTCCAACTCAGCGCAGCAAAGGGCATCCACCAAGGCGTCCTCGTACCGACCGAGGAAAATGAAAATCCTGGAGCGCAGCGTGAGGGCATCCACGTCCATGGGCATGCCGGGACTCTGCGTGGCGATCAGTCGATTCACCATCGCCAAGGCGGTAGTGTATTGTTCCCGCTGAAACAAGCTCTGAGTTTCACCCAAATCCGCAAGGCGCTCCGCAGGAACCTCCAGAACGGACATGGATTCATAAAACTGATGAGGAGTCTTGGACAGGCTGTTTTTGAGCGACCCCAACTCCGGGCAAATCACCCGCGGCCCCGTCTTACAGCAGCAGGAACCAAAGACCCCCTTATTCGCTGATGACGAAATTTCATACGGCTCGACAGGCTTTATCGATAAACACGGCCGCGGTAGTGTAAGGGATAAACTGATCTCAGAGGCCTCATCGTGAAATCGGACGATGGTCATGCTTCCGCTATGCCGTACCACCGTACCGCTTAGCCTCCCATTGCAGACCAGCTTGTACGCATTACACCAGGTGCTAGGGATAAACATCTCGACATCCTCCTCGTCCACCACCCATACGTGCTTGCCAGGTGTGAGCTGTTCAATGGTGTGGTAGGGCATAGCAAGTTTTAGAAGCCGGGAAGAGAGCTGAATAATCGGCTCCGGTATGAACATACTTTCCTCCACATCTTCATCCGAGGAAGTTGAAAAAATCGACGAGGGGTGAACGTTATAGGTACGAAGGCACATGCTATCACAGGATGAGGAGGAAGAATATCGGCGTAGCACACTGTTCGAGTTGTCCAGAAGTTCAGAGCTGTTGTGACTAATCTTATGGTTACGAGAAGAGTCATCAGCTGGATTGTTATTATCCTTGATAGTGCGTCTATCACGCGTCCGCATATAAGTTTTATTTAAGACGTCTCTAGGTGATTCAGGTTGTGAATTTTGACATTTCAAAGGTGATGATTGGAGTGCAGTATCGGATATGTTCATGCATTCATTCGGGTTAAGAAAAGTACCATGAAATGCATCCATGGAGCTGCTAGTAGTACAATTACTGCAAGCAATATCAATAGGATTACTTTTGTATAATTCAATGCACTTTTTCTGACGTGCTGACTTCAACCGTGAGGGAATCGACTTGACTACATGAGATTTAAGGGTAATCTGAGGGGCCGCTGAAGATGCCGGAAGACCACCGCATGCCTTTTGTTTATTCATACGTGAAATTAAAAAATTTAGGAGTATTAAAATAGATGGTATTTAAAAGCTTACTTAGAAACCCTTCCTAAGGGAAGATAAAACGTACACTTTATTGTCGTTTTTTCTGTATTGATTTATTTGGTTAAACACCATAAAAGGTATGACAAGCAACGAAATTGATGTGGTATAGCAAGTTCACAGTGTAGGGAAAAAAAGTCTATATACTAAAAGGGTAAAAGACAGTAAAACTTTGTAAGATAGTGTTTCACACTGAACTCAAAAAGCTAGAACATAAGAAAATGGTGAAAAGTGGTATGGACCATATGATAGATAAAATGTTGAACAAAAAATGAAACTAATGGGAGCCCATGCATACATGATACAACGTAACTTAAAATATTTCTCTTCTTTATTTGTAGTAAAGAATAAATTCAAAGATAAACAGATAGGAAAATTACGTATAATAAATAAAACAATGTGTAAGGCTCAAATCTGTGGATACAAAAATATGAAAAAATAGGTATATCATGTTTTCAAACCATTACACCATCCTCGATTCTTAACCACCCGCAACGACGTTAAAATGGCACTTCGGTGGGCACACTGCGTGGAAGTAAACCTCAGGCACGGGAGGCTGAACGGGATCAGCCATCATTCGTCCCTCGCTGGCAGCTAAAAAAATAATGCCCGCAGTGGCGGCTGACAATTCTAATCCATCCTTGTATTCTTCATAAACCCGCCCCATTTGAGCTCTCTGAGCCTCAAGATCATCATAAAAGATGGTTCGATTCCTTTGATGCTTCGTTCGCGCAAAAGTCCTCTGAAACGTAAAATAAAACGCAACAAAGAGCACGCAAACGTAAAGCATAAGCAACCGTGGGTTTCGAGTCGGCAAATCTGCGCTATCAGCAACTCGATCTGTGGCACGTTGGAATGCTGTCTTCTCGTTTTGTTCCTTTTCCTTCTCGATCGCACGTCTACGCATCTCCTCAAATATGTTCCCATCGGAAGTAAACGACTTATAACGAGGCCGCTCAGACATGTACAAAGGCCGATCCAGCTCAACCCAAGTATGATCATCACGATTTTGATACAGGTATTTACCCGAAGGGGTGTACCGCTCCGTAGTCGGATCGAGAGCGCTGAGCTTTTCCATCTCCTCGTCCGAAAGCGCAGCACCGTGGAAGGTGGTGGATTTAGTAGACGTCGAGGAAGTGGAGCCGCCCTCAGCCTGCTGTTCGGCGGCGTACGGCGCGCTCGTGCTGACGGTGCGGCGGCGTCGTTCCTCAGACGGGCTCCTGTTCTGTCCATCGCTGCTTTGATTCGTCGGCAGGTGCAGCCGCTCAAACCCGCCTTCCTTCATAAGCAGTTTATACGCCTGGTTGATCTCCTCCATCTTTTTGCTGTTTCCAGTTTCGGAATCGGGGTGGTAGACACGCGCGAGCTCGCGGTACTTCACCTTCACTTCGGCTTTCGAAACTGATCGATTAAGCCCAAGCACTTTAAAGGGGTCCCTGTTCGGGGCGAGGCGCCATCGCTGACGATGCATAAAGAACATTCAAGGACCTCTAATGGAGAATCAATATTAGTGTCCCAAGACCTTTATGTTATGTTTTGCAGAGTAAAAGCGGTGGATAAATCAGTAAAAATGCACAGAAATGTACCCAAAGTGTGTAACAAAGGGTGGAAAAAAATTAACAGGAGGGTCATGTGATAGCTCCTTAATATAAAATATAAATATGAAAAACGTAGTAGAAAGCAAATTACGCGTTTTATCGCTCCCAAATACTTTGAAAAGATCAAGGAAAATATGGAAGCAGATTTGAAAATATATATTTTTGATGTAAAGCTAAAAATCCTTTCCGTTCTTAACGCCAAAGGCCTAATGTAATTCAGTGTGCATGCACGCCATCAATGTCCTCTCAAGCTTAGCATTCCATGCCTTTATGATTTCAAGGGGGAGATTAGGGTTTTCCAATAATTTACGGATCTCAATAATTAGTTCATGTATTTTATCACGATGACTTTTGTCGATATTTTTGTGTCCTTTTATGAAGTCTATAGCAACAAGGATATTGTATTCAGACCTGATGCGCACCTCTGCGAGTTTTCGCTTTAAACGATCAATCTCCACATGCTGCTCGGCATCAGAGATCGTCTGCTCAATTTGCTCCTTCGTGAGCCCGCCGTTCACGGTGATCGTGATGTTCTGGGTCTTGCCCGTCGCCTTGTCCTTGGCCGTCACGTGGCAGATGCCATTCGCGTCGATGTCGAACATCACCTCGATCTGGGGCACACCGCGCGGCGCGGGGGGGATGCCGACGAGGTCGAACTGCCCCATCAGTTGGTTGTCCGCCGCCATCTCGCGCTCGCCCTGAAAGATCTGAAACGTAATAGCAAATTGACCATCCTCAACAGTAGTGAAAATGTGGCTTTTCTTCGTCGGGATCGTCGTGTTCTTCGGGATAATAGGCACAAAAACATCTCCAACGACACTGGTTCCAAGAGAAAGAGGTAAAACATCAAGAAGAATCAATCTCTTCACG